AGGTGACGTGCGATATTGGTGCTCAGTATACTGACGCACCCATTTAAAGTCATTCTTAATCGAACAAGTAAATGCTTCTTTATGTGAAATATAAAACAAAGTACTTAAAAGTTGTGGCTCTGTAAGCTAAAAAAAATAGCCCAGTTTGAAATGAGCATACAGCTGCACTGAAAAATTGGTGTAGGAGCGCCCTCTTGTGGTCAGACCTGCAAAGGGATTTTAAAGAAGTCTGCAAATACCTTGTGCTTTTAACTGGTCTTTTTAATTTGATAATAAAGGTGTTGTTGTACTGCACTACCTTATATTCAGAGGTGCCTGTAATTTTGTCCTCCCCAGCTACTGTACATACATGAAAGGGTCAGAATATTAGGAACACCTCTGAATGTAATGTAGTCCAGTACAACACCACCTCTAACTATAAACTCAACAATAAACATACAGTATAATTGAATTTATACATTTATGACAATTTCACCAAAAAATGAAACATTTTGAACTTCATAAACACAGATGTTAAGGTGGAAGTGTTGCACTGAATTGCATACAAGTGTACCTAATAAAGTGGCTGGTGAGTGTATACTGTCATTATTGTTTTATCTTAAATTAAGTAGTTTTAACTACACTTCATGTTTTGATCATTTTGATCATTTTCCCCTTTTGCACAGATATAAAACAGATGCCAAACTTGCCTCGATTATATTCCTAGTGTGCTTAAATGTTGTTAATTGGCCTTTGTCCTGTGTTTTCTGCGCACAACTCTGGGAATCGCTACCTTATTAAAGTGGAGAGGTTTGCATGCCTCTGTGAACATGGGAGCTGTGCTGTCACAGGCAACAGGTCCTTGTAGGGTCTCCCATGGCAAAATGATCCCAGGTGAGGGGCCAGTACAACAAACAGTGTCTACTAAATAAGCAGAGCCAGCAGGAGAAGCTGGGAAGGCAACGCTTGTCCAGGAAACAACCACAGTTTGACAAGGTGCCTCGAGGGGGAAAGGGGGGGGGGGGTTAATGGAATTGCTCATGTATAAATCCTCCACTGCAGACACCGCTGAAATTAACTGTAGCGAGGAAGTCAGTGGTGGTGTTGTAATCCAGCAGTGAAGAAGTTGGGCTGAAGTCTTGAGGTTTAAGTTTGATATCACAGTACTGGAAAGGAGGCTCAGCCTAAATGTCAGATTTAGGAGCACTGTGGTTTGTCCATTCAATCTACAGTAGATTTGCTTTGTGGACCATACACCCGTAAGCAGGGTGAGGTCTTGTATTGCTTCTGTTTGTCTGTACTCATTATAAATCACGTGTTTTTTTTTTAACAGTGTTTTGTTAATATCAGAAGGAAAGACTTTAATCTTTTAGTTACAAATTTTCACACAGATCCCACATCATTTTATATTCAGTACTATGAACTCATATGAGTTTGTTATATAGAAAGCAGCTTATTTAACTCCTCATCCCCATGTAGTGTTTAACGGTGAACACTAGAGGGCGGTGGAGTGTTTTTTTCCTCTAGATCAGGCTTCACTTTTACCTTCTTAACCATGAAAACAAAACAACCATTCATGGATTTAGATGTTAATAAATTTACTCAGACGAACTGAAGAGCTGTTGCCACTGGCGTATCTTCACCTGCTGCCCTTTCTCTTTCTCGACCTTTCACTCCAAACACACACTCCTCATGTTTACTGACACATTAATCTGAAATTGCATGAACACAAACACTGCCTGCTTGTTAGTGAGCTTACTGACAAGTTGTATTTTCCAAATCTCTGGATGCTTTTCATGCTCCTACTGTCATTAAAGTGATTTTCTATACAGTCCAGATTGTAAGTATTAGGACAGTTGCAGATTTTTGTTCATTTATTTTTGTCCAAATTATTTTTGAAACCCTAAACTTTGAGCATTAAGTGATAAAAGGACTATATTTCCCACACACTTCTTTGCATATTTATTGCTCAAATTTAACCTGAGGCTTAGCATTTTAATGCAGTATCTGTTATTGTATTTTAAACTGAATGTGCTGAAGCACAGAGCACAAAGAACAAAAAACAGCCAAATACTTATGACCTGTACTGTATATACTTACTGAAATACTGGACCCGAAGGTTTCTGAAAATGTTATATTTTGAAAAACTAATTCTCCAAATTAGTACTGTATATGCATAAGACAGGTGATTTTGGCCTGAATCCAGCAAAGCTTTGGAGCTTTCTATTGGTCCTTTAAGAATGGATTGTTTTGCTGAATGATTTTGACACAAATGTCTGTAAATTATTCTCCAATCGCTCCTAAACTGCTTACCAAAAGTACCAGAAGAAGCAGTCAGAGGAAGCTTAAGCATTGTCCACAACCTGAGTGTTATTTTTATTTTATAGAGAGGGGGATTTGTGCCACTGAGGGATTTTCTGCTTTGTCACTCTGTACGGGATTTCCTTCTGCCAGAGGAAGAGTACTCCTGTGCAACTTCCTCTCTCAAAGGCTGCTCAAACAATAAATGCATCAAACAGAACTGGCTTTTGATTTCAGGAATTCGTATGGTGTTTGTGGAAACACACAAAAGGAATTTATAAATGTATAAAACCTTGGCAGGCAAGGTCACTTACATTATGTAATTCCTTTTCACCTAAAACCTCATTACCTTCCTTAAATACACCATCTGTGACCATATAAAAACACTAACTTTCCTGCCACCAAAATTTAAGATTGTAACCTGCTCTCTCTCCCACACCGACTGACATATATTTAAAAGTTCACAAGCTAATTTCACACATGTTCTGATCTTAATGTTTCGATTGCTCTGCCTTTTCTTGTTCCATTGGCACTCTAAAACGTGTTAATCGCCTATTTTGTGGAGACCTAAGAAAGCTTAGTAAACGGTTTGTGAAAGCAATTTGTGATACAAATGAAGAATAAAGAATCATCTAACAAATGACATAAGATTAACAGTTCCTATTGTTTTCTTCTGTGAAAGGTTGGTTTACATTAATCATGTAACAGAGTAGAAGTAGCTTGTATTAACAAATGACATAAGATAAACAGTTCCTATTGTTTTCTGCTGTGAAAGGTTGGTTTACATTAGTCATGTAACAGAGTAGAAGTAGCTTGTATGACCAGTTGACCAATATGGGTGGAGTGGCCAGGGGTGGCACCGGCCACCCCCAGAATCTGATTGGCCATTCCTGGTGCCACCCCTGCCAAAGTCAAAATGTGATCCTTGTTAGTATTAATGAATGAAAAATGAATGACAATGACAAATTATTGCCTTAATACAGCTAACATTTTCCTGGTGCTTTATAATTGATACTGGTCAAATTAGGTTTATTTTATATCATGTATGCAGCATGATATTGGTTTTCATTTCTCCAGTTGTTTTGTTGTGGACAGCTTGGCATGATTCGCCTCGGGGGGTGAACAGCAGTGTGCACGCACCTCACAGGAGCTTGCACAGTCAATTGAGGCACATTTTTGAAATTGAAAATTAAAAAAAAAATCATTTTTGTTATTTAAAATAAAAACACTCGGTCAGTGGTGATAACTGGTTCTCTCCAGGTGCTCCGGCTTCCTCCCACAGTTCAAAGACTTGCAGCTTAGGTTGATTGGCAACTCTAAATTGCCTGCAGGAGTGAGTGTGTGTGGTTGTTTGTCTACATGTCAGCCCTGTGACAGACTGGCGACCTGTCCAGGGCCTCTCACCCAGTGTCAGCTGGGACTGGCTCCAGCCCCCCACGACTCTATTCAATAAGCAGCATAGATAATGGATGGATGTCAGAGCTAATAACCTCCAGTTTTGGGTTCACATTGTGGGGTCCCAAGTGCGAACACTAGTATTTCCTGTAGGCTAAACAGGAATTTACAGGGTTTCCTGAAGGAAACTCTATAAGTGAAATCTTTTGTTGTCTTCAGTTATGTGTTTATAAGCACTGGAGTTTATCCTGCTGTACACTACAATGCAGATGTGTCCACTTTGTTTATGAATAGTCTGAGGAGACAACAAGGCTCTTGCTTCCCCAGCTAACCTTTTGACTTGCTCATGTCTCACAGCACCATCTAGTGGTCACAACTCATCAGCGCGGCTTCATTAGTAATTTAGGACATGTAACAACAGCAGGGTATCATTGACTTGAGGTAAGAGGCTTAAACTGACTTGAACTGACTTAAAGCAAGAGATTTCAGTGACAAACCTGGAAGGTTTTTCTAAAACGAACCCTTGACACTTAGGATACCTCCATCACATCACAAGAACTCCAGGAGTTTCTCCCAGAGGCCCCTGGGCACAGACATGTAAAAGGCCTCTAGCTTTTCTGCACTTCTAGGAGCAAGACTCACAGTTTTAGCAACTACATGATTTGTATTCAGTGTGTGTCTTTGTTGTTTGTTTGTTTTTTTGTCTCTTTGTAGTTCTTTAGCGTCTTTTTTTTAATCCATTTTGTGTTCACTTTTACTTGGTATGCAACTCTTTGTAGTCATTTCACATCAGTTTGTGCTTGCTCTGCCTCTAGTTTTAAATTATTTAGCATTTTTTTGTAGCTTGCCTTCTTTGGGGTCATTTTTTGTGTGTTTTTAGTGGTTTTGTAAGGCATTGTAGTTGTTTTGCATCTCATTTTTCTCTTTTCAAGGCTGTTTGTAGTCATTTGATTGACTTACCAATGGAAAGATTAGCGGGGGGGTGTAACCTCTTGGGCCCCTGGGCCTGTGCCCAATAGGCCCATTCAGTAATCCATCCATGGGTCCCCCTCTGGTTATATCTGTTGTTAATCCATATAGTAGCTACTTAGGTTATTTGTTCATGTCCATCTGCAGGTGATCTGTCAACACTGCATGGTGAACCAGACAGTAAATGTTAACATCTGTCATTTGCATTTATTTTCCTTAAAAATCATTCGTGACTGATCTTTCATTCCTACTTTTTTCTTCCACCAGGTTCAATGAAACGAATTTATTTCTACCCAGAAATCACAAAGTATAGGCGTGTTTCATTTAAGGAAATAAAATGTCTCTTGTATTTTCAGAGGTTACACAGGAGGAGAGTTTAAACGTGGTTGTCTTAGGTCGTGTGTGATGTGCACACGACCAGAGCAGTCGGGAGCATTAGGACCAAGAGGCGGAGCAGACTTCCACTGGTTTGACAGCTCGGTCCGAGCTCACAGTGGATGAGGAGGAGGAGGAGGAGGCTGGCGGCTTTTGGTGCGGTACGCCGAAGTTTTGTCAAATTCCGTAGTTGTTTATGCACCAGCTGCCGTGTCTGTCAGAGACCAGTGCTCGTTATTTGGCACATTTTCAACCGGATAAGTTGCCGTTTGGATTACTGCTCTGGTAGCTACATAAATCAATTCGTCGGTGCAGTTAGCACGACGCGCACTTTCTGTGGATGTTTCTCATTTGGGGAGCTGTGTTTCTGCGTCAGGACTTGTAAAGAGCAGCTGGTGCCGTTGTCACACTGTTTGTAGGCTGGAAGTGGAGACACGTGTGTCCTGGTTCGTCCCGGCTGCGCCACACATCGAGCCTTTCACACGCTGTGGACACAGGCTCTTTGCCCGTTTGGGATTTCGTTAAAAGGCCAAAAAAGGCAGACATGTCGCTAAGCAGAAGCATTGAGTTTGAACACTTTGAGGAACGAGAGAAGCCGCACCGGACACCGAAGGCCAACTCGGGCTCCGGGTCCCAGTCCGGCTCCAGAGGCAACGGACTGGTCCCCAGCCCGGCGCACAGTGCGCACTGTAGTTTCTACCGCACACGCACTCTCCAGTCCCTCACATCCGAAAAGAAAGCTAGGAAAGTGCGGTTTTATCGCAACGGAGACAAATATTTTAAAGGCTTGGTGTATGCGGTGTCAAACGACCGGTTCAGGTCTCTGGACGCTCTGCTCATGGAGCTCACACGGTCCCTGTCGGACAACGTCAACCTTCCCCAAGGGGTCCGGACGTTATACACTTTGGACGGAGGCAAGAAGATCACCAGTCTGGATGATATAGTAGAGGGTAAGGGTGAGAGTGGATGTATCAGTGTCTTCATGTGACAACAAATCATAAAAGAGGCTCATCACGTGGCGATATTGATGGTAAACGTTTGTGCATTGATTCTCAGACACGCAACTAATTTTATAAAAGCTTCCCATTACCCCGAATATTGGCTAATGACCTACGCAGATATAGCCTAAGGCAAGTTAGGCCAGAAGTTTTAAAGGTCACGTAGAGTAGTTTTTAAGGACAGGCTCTTGATGCTATGTACTGTCTCTGAGGAAAGTTTGTATTCAGCCAAAAGATGGGCAGTGCTCATCTGCACAGATTTATCAGTTGACCTCCGGAGACCATGAATGCAATGCAGAGCGTCCACTTGTATCATTCACATCATTTGCATCCTTTGACATAATAGTGCTGACATGTCTGACCCGGTGCCATGCGTGAAGACAAGCAGACCCCTCCTCAGTGCAGCTTTAATTCACCACAGTCTTCTGCTGACATGCTTCAATGTATATTGATTTCAGCTGGACTCTCTCTCTCCTTCTCAGGCCTAGAGTGTGTTTGTCTGCAATCCTCTTTTAACATGAAGGGCTACCACTCGGCTCAGGGTACCCTGACAGTGTACTGAAGTCAGTCATCTTATATACCGGTCTGTTTTCATCTCACATCCTCTTAAAAGTGTAGTCTCTGTGCTGCACTCATTTCCTATTCCCATCCCCTGAGAGGAGGATTTAGGCCAGCACCTGATCTGAATTCTATAGCATCATCAGTTTGGCAAGTTGTCTTGGTGCATGACCAGAGTTCTATATGTGATACGTTCAACAGCCCTGTGATTTTAAAGGGTCAGCTTACCCAAGTCACATAAAAATCCTTTCATGCACTACCGATTAGTATTTGAAGATGTCTGCAAATCATATCTCAACAACTCCAGTTGTAGTGTTTGCAGATAATTAGCTGTAAGGAAGTCAGAGGCTTGGATAGATCAAGATCTTTGATGAGATTAAGGATATCACATCATCAGTGCAGCATATGCATGCATGTAAACTCTTTGGTTCACCAGAGCTTCTTAAAACATGAGACAGACTGCAGGTGGGCCCAGCACCAGTGCCTTGTACTTGTTTACTCCCCCATCTAATGGATGGCAGGAGGGAACATTACTGCACAGCTCAGCAGTCTGCTTCCATTGATTGAGGCCTGCTGGGGCTCTTTTGTGTGGAGAGCCAATCAAGCACCACTCACATGTGTGCCCCTTATTGCTAGATGGGATCACTGAGCTGACCAGCCAAGTTGAACTGCTGTGCTTGTGAAAAACAACACAGAGAGGTAGCAGACGCTGAACTGGGTTTAGAAAGAGCTTTGTGTGTTATTGTGTGGATACTGTATGTGGGGGTACACCATATGCTGACAGAGGAATTCTAGTTGGGACAAAAGTAATTGCAATACAAAGGGTTTAGTTGTACTAAACTGTGAAATGAAGCCTTTTAATATTTTATGTTCAGATTGGCTAAAGGTAATGAGGAGACATTAGAAATGTTGTGTATTTGTTGGCTGAAAATTAGCTAAGAAATGTCATTTCTGTGATTCACAGTTCATGAAGTTCATTAAAGAGAGTATTGATATTGAACTTTACAGAAACTGTTACTGTATGTGTTCTTCCTGGTCAGAAGAACATATAGAACAGTCATAGATTTGACAAGTTCGGTTTGGGTTACAACAGATTAGGAGTGAAGCCATGAGTGTGCTGGCCGTACTGATCCAGTGCCTTTTACTAAAGTGGTGAATTTAAGTCAGCAAAATAAAAAGCCACATGGAGTCACTTCATCATTCTGGACATTTTAAGTCTTAAATTGCCTTAATAGTTTCATAAATTAGGTTTTGTATTGGTGACAGCTGTGTGACCACTGCAGTATGAGTTAGTGGCCCGGTTAGACAGCTCTGAGGTTGAGCTCATCTGTCGTCCACATGAGGACAGCAGCCGGTGTCGGGTGGATGAGGCAGCCCTCACATCACAGAGATGCTGCACCTGAGATCCCTGCACCCCAGGGAATAGCCTTGTCACCAGTCACCATCTGAGGGCATCATCATCACCAGATGAATGACAGCTCCAGTTAGATTTAGTTTTAGTTTTCAGCCATAGCTCAGCCCCCTCAGATGTGTGCTAGCCTTTTAATTAGCCATTGTATAATTGCGGGCTTAATAAAACCAGGTATCATGGGACACCCTGTCTCACATGGTCTTCTTACACGTGTGACACATATCCAACAGCCAAAATTTTATAGGCACTGCCTCTTTATCAGTAAATTTAACTGTTTCCTTAAAGACAAGCTTTTATTTAAACAGTAATACATTTCTGTAGTATGTAGGGTGGATGATCCTGCTGCTTTTAAACTAGGATGTTTGCTTTTTGTCCAGGGTCATTGTTAACTGAACAGTCACTGTGAGGTTCTTATATTGATGGAGAAATACAGGCATAAGCAGTAAAGTATAGTCTGCAGCAGGATGTCCTTTCCCATTTCTCAGTTTATGTGTGCTGGGTTTTTTTTGTGAGATAAATTTGGATGGAATCCTCTGTGATCATTACTTGCTTCTGGGAGAGTTTACTGTTTGTGTCCAATTAAATACCTTTTGTGATGAATTTAGTGTGAAGAGAGAGTCGGCACAGTTTCCTCCAACCCTCAGCAGACATTCCTGCTTAAAGGGAAACATTTGTGTGTTAACAGTTCAAATGGAATGCTGGCAGATAAAAGAAACTGCTTTGCTTTGGAGGACGGCCAGTGCAGCAGCTCAGCAGCTGAAAGGGGGAGAGGACAGTGTTCCACTGGCTTGGCCTCTCAATGTGCCTGTTTGTTTCATCTGACGAATGTTAACTCTTTGTTCAACTGATTTTCCTAACACCATGTGTGTTTTATGGTGCATACCATACATGTATGGGGGATTCTGAAGCATTGCATACGTGCCGAATTTAGTGTTTTTCATTTTATATCTATATTTTAATCATTTCATAGATGTAAATATGGTTAATGAGAGAGCCATGTTTTGACTTTGTTCTGCCAACTTCTCCAGGTGAGAGTTACGTGTGTGCCTCCAACGAACCTTTCCGACGGGTGGACTACACCAAGAATGCCAACCCCAACTGGTCAGTGGGCAGCAAGACCGGCACATCCCGCTCTCTGTCCTCTCTTTTCCCACTGAAAAGTGAGCTCCAGCGCGAGTCTAAGGACTTCATCAAACCCAAGCTCGTCACAGTCATCCGTGGCGGCGTCAAGCCCCGGAAGGCGGTGCGGATACTGCTCAATAAGAAGACGGCACACTCATTTGAGCAGGTGCTCAATGACATCACTTATGCTATCAAGTTGGACTCTGGAGCTGTGAGGAGACTGTACACTTTGGAGGGCAAGCAGGTGAGTCTGTTATGATGGATACTGTTTTAATAACGTTGCAGCTCTCTGCACTCTGTGAAACTGAACTCCCCCTGTGTGGAGGATAGTAAGCACCAAGCAAACTCAAGCAAAACCAGCCAGTGTAACAAGGTATTATTCTTGTTCCTACCAATATCTATGAACTCACCAACACAGTAAATGGCAAAACATGGCAGTTTGAGAGGGGTTAACTATTGTATTTTCAGGTAGATGAGACTGGATGATGTTCGGTGAAAACCAGATGGCACTTCAAGGCTGAGCCTTTTAGCCAAAGGTTTATCTCAAAGCCCAGTATGATTTATAGGCTTCAGCTGTGTCAGCAGTCTAGGTAATTACACCCCGTTTAATCATCCGTACAAAATTACATGCCACAATTATTTTAACAAGCCACTAATCGATACACTTTAGAGTTCAGGCCTTTTGCCATACCCATCGGTATAGTTTCCTCCTACCTCATCCAACCCTATTAAGCAATGTCAGACTGTCTTTGCTATAATCCTGTTCATCTGGTATTATTGTAACATATTTATTTGAAGTTCTCAGTGAAGTTTCCCCTGGTGTTAGGAGATGAGGCCAGCTTGATTTATTTTAATGTTGTCTCATCAGGGAGAAGTCTTAGATAATTATTATTAATCATATTGTTTTAACTTATCTCACAGTATTATACAACTTTTGGTAAATACAGAGGGTAAAAAAATACACTAAAAATAAAGAAATGGGATTCAGACATGACAGAAGAGAGAGTATACAGAAGCAAACTTCATGAAATGATTCAAATTAAAGCTCGACAGGAGCTTGAATCCATGTTTCCAAGGTCTACAGCATATCTTTACATCAGACAGAATCCTATTTTAAAAACCTAAGAGGTAACCACAATCATTTGAGTGGGGAGAATAATAAGTTGACATGATGTTCAGACCTAAAACAGGCTGTTTAAGGTAGGGCAAATGTCTGGCATTGTAAAAAGCCATGTATGACTTTATTTATGTTTAATAATTACTTTAAAATGTAAGCCAGACTGCACAATTTAAAGTATAAGTAAAAATAATGTATTGCTTCCATATTTCAGACAGCTGATCTCATATTGCCTGACAGGGTGCTTACCATTATTTCTGAAATAATTGAAATGTGAACTTATTAAGGTGGATTATGATTATTTTCCTTTAAATGCACATAGCGTCAGTGCATATGAGGGTAGATTTGCTTGTTTACTTGCAGCATTTAAACAAATATTAAAATGCGGAGATTGAAAACTTTAGAAACTTCATGTATGTAGTGGTGTCCTTGTCCCCCGTGGTCCGGTATACAATAACCTCATGTCAAATGTAATAACAAATCAGCTGTGTAGTGTGTTCTGCTTCCAAAAGTAGTGTTTATTGTTGGTTTTGGTAGCAGCACTTTGTTTTAGGTGTATATTATCAATTGTATTAGTAGGACTTTAAATGAGAGCCAAATGAACTTGAATTACATTTTATAAAAAGCTTTACTTTGCACTAATATAATGTAAAGCTCGTCAGTTGTCACTTGCACAGACATAAACACACTTGCATATAAACTCACATGCTCCACATGCCTTCCAGCAGCAGCCTGCCATCTGTGCCTTT